TACCCATCATTACAGAGTTCAAGGCCACTTTGTTCATTATCTGCCTTGTGGTCACAGTGATGCGTGTAAAAGTGACGGTGACACCAGTGGCATCATAGGCAGGATCATCTAACTGCCCAAGGTAGCTGTAGGCACTTTGGGGTAGCGGATGTTCATCACAAACGTGCACACTATGAACATTAGCGGCAGAAAGAGCAGAGACAGCATCCACTCCTAGGTGGGGGAAGAGCAGAGGAGAAAATGTAATAATATGACAGTATAAGAGCATATTCTCTGTGGGATTAAAATATCAACAAGAGGCATTCAGTCACGCAGGTTTCTTAGATGTTGACTAACTAACAAGGTCTTTGCATATGTGCACGTCACCTCAGTAAATTACTCTGCTTAAAGAGCCCATCTGTGCTCTCATATGTCACATGAAAGACAGAAATAATATCAGTTAAGAAAGTAAAGTCTCATAAAATGTTCATTACCAGTTGGGCTTTTCAAAAGGACTTTAACTTTTAATTTTACAAGAAGAAATTGGGGTATAGGGACAGGCAGGGATTGGCTGCTCTCAACGGTTAGCTACTCACTTTTTTCCTTTTTTTTTAGCTTACCTGAAAGCTCTGCATCTTCATCCTCCACTTGATAAGTACATTTTTCCACAAGAGTCATATTTCTCTGAAGTGTCTTCATCTTTGAACCTACAAGCATTTTTTTTGTAATTACTTTCAAATACAACAAAAGCTAGAACAGCCATGACTGCTTTTATTTGCACAGTCCTTGCACGTGTGCCCAGAAACACTTTCTTTCCCTTTTTATTACAAGGGAGAGTGAGCTGTAGCAACTCAGGCCTCGTGCTGAGCACAAGCCAACCCTGCAGCACAGCTTGTAGCAGCGAGGGAGAGACCTTGTTGTCCTCAACACACTCCCAATCCTTGCAGCTCAGCAATAAGACACCGATTATAACCACAATTTCACGCTTCTGTGCTGTAGCATGGTGAGTCTGGGAGGAGTTATTTATGAAATAAAAAAAGTGAAAATCATACTCATGACCTAATTGGCTTGAGCGGCCTTAATATCCAACAAATAACGACATCAACATGGTTTATTAAAATCACCAAAATCTTTTTGTATGTAATTTTAATGTTCTGTAGGCGTCACACCGAGAAGTGTTGAGCAAGTCCTGGCTGTGGTGTGAGCTGAGCTCACATGTAAAGCAGCGTTGATTGAAGGCAACTCGGAGCTACGAGAGAACAAATTCTTGGAAGTGCGTTCAGAGTGCTGTCATTGTGGGGGATGTTCACGGAAAATGAGAGGAAACGGATAGCCACAAGCATGCGTTGGCGTGCTATGCCAGAAGATGTGGCAGCATCCTTAGAAAGATGTGGTCAAAGCAAAACAAGGATTTGGTGCCCGGATTAATGCCGGTGGTGGGAACTTAAAGGAGTAGGCATAAAGTGAGCTGGCAGAGTAACTGTTGCAGATGAGATATGTCCATACTAATGTCAGGAAAATAATAATTAATAACTCCAATGAGCAAAAGAACTAAGTACCCAAATGCAAAAGGGTTACACTGAGATAGCCAAACTGCTCTGCTGTCACAAATGTAGCTAAAATATGCTTTCAAACAAGATCTTGTTCTTTTCTCAGTGAAGTCTCAGGTAGAAATACCAGAGCGTTTGTCGATCTAATCCTTTCACACCTTCCCGTCATACGGGAGGAAGATTTACATTGTCCCGTTCCCTTTGGGGAATGATGCCTCACAGCGCTGACAGGCAAGACGGAGTTCATCTTCTTCCAAATATTTATATTCATGGTTCTCCCCTCCCTTATTATTCTCCACTTGACCCACATGAATGTTCCGATTTCAGGTACACCAGGGCCAGATTTTCAGTTTCTCCTCCACGTGCCCATCAAGCCAGGCCAGCCCCATGCAACACCTCGAGTCGCCTGGGGTTTCAGGTCTTGACAGTGGGGTTGCCTTAGGCAAGCATCAACACGAACCTTGAACCTTCAGCCCTGCCACCAGCCAGGCAAACCCAGCGCCCAGCCCGCAGGAGAGGCAGGGCTCTGCTGTAGCGAGGCAGCAGGCACCAAAACGCTGGAAAAGCAGCTGCAATAAATAGTCTTCCCTGGGAACAGGCTGGAAATGCGTGTGCCAGCATGGCATGTCGGGAAGATGGGGCAGGAACATTGGTTCAGTGACAGAAACCTAATATTTTGCTATCACTCTTTGAATAGATTTTTCTCTTTCAGATGATCTCACTAAATCCAGGCATATAAAAATTTGAATTTAGCCTGTGCTAATGATCTCCAGACTTCATTGAGGAAACCGTGAAGTTAAATTTGCAATTGTTTGGCCACTTTTTCACCTAACAGAAGCAAGGTGCAGGACAGCGTATATCACCTGTACACATTTCCACAACTGAAACGGGATTTGTTTCGCGGCTTTCCAGTTTCTCTTTCATTTTAATAGGCACATAGAGTAACCTCAACAAGTTGACACACCGCTGGAGTTCCAGCTTCACACCCAGGAGTTCCCAGGTGGGGGGGAGTGCTGGTGCACCAGGTACCCATCATGGGCGTCGCACGTGGCCTCCCTCCCCATCACCCCTCAGCGTTGCCTGACCCCCAGCCGTGCTGCCGCAAAGCTTGGGCAGTTGGGGAAAACGTGGCAGAATTGATTTCATTATTCCTTCGGTATTTCAGGGGGAATTTTTAACAGTGTAAGATGGACAGAAGACTTTCAAAATTCAGTCTTTAACTTACACTGCACATAGGGAAAACTCACGTGGGCTGGATTACTTACAATACTGAGATGAACCTACCACATCCTCTTAGCGCTGAGAAACACAGGAAATACACCTCCACCATAACCCGAGCTCCATTTGCGTGTTATTTCATATCAAAGTAAGGTTAAAAAGACTCTATTGCCTTTAAATAGTCACTAAGCTCGGTCACAAGCTTAACTCAGCCTGTTAGAAAGATGCCCAGTGTCCCACCCTACACATTCATATTCTCACCCAGCGTTGTTAATGGTGTTACTAAGTGCTAGATGTTTTCATACCTTTTAAATAACAATTTTTATTTGTTTTAAGAAGAACGTTTAAGCCTTACCTTAACGGGAAGGTTTGAAAGGAATCCAGAGCTTGTGCTTTGCAGAGTGTCTGTAAAAGCAGAGATGCTGACCCTCCCTGGGAGGGACTTACCGGCTGTCGCAGAGGCTTTGTCCACACACTTGTTTTTTTTCACTCGGGCACTCCTGCCAAAAGGCATTCCTCACACCATCACTTCGCTTTCCCTTGGCTGCCTCCCCCCTTCCTCCTTGGCAGATTTTCAGATTTATTTATGTTGTAAAAGGCAAACCGAGCATATTGTTGTTGAGTTGCTGGAGCGGATTCTCTGAAAAGTTACTCAGGAAATTCTTGAGCCTTGGCCAAGAGAAGAAAAATGAGCCCAAAAACAAATCACACAAAAATCCTTTCTCTGGCCAACTCTGTTATGTTTCTCGGTGCAGCAAGAGAGCCTGCAGTCAACAGCGGTATCTCGGCACGCTGCTGAGGGCGGAGGAGCAAACGGTGACCCTCGCGCATCGCCGAACGGCAAAGGTTGCCTTTGCAAACTGGTTCAGTGCCACCAGCCCCGGTGCCG